TAAGGTAAGGTAAGGTAAGGTAACTTTATTTTAAGTCGTAAACGTAGGGAGTGGTTTCCCAATCTCCCGAGCCAGGGGCTCATGAAAAAGACCCACGACTATTTAAAATAACATTACTACTTTACAATTACTATATTCGCTAAAATAAGTTCAGAATTAAACTAGTCCTAAAATTAAAAATTTGGGGATTAGGAGAATTCTCGAAAGTTATGCAAACGCTCGACCGCCTCTAAGGTTTTCATAACTGTCTCGAATTCTCCCAATCCCCACCCCTCTTCGCGGTGAGATCAGCTATGTAAACATGGAAAAAGTCGCTTTTAACTTAAGCAAACGTGCCCCATATGTAGAGTCATGGGCCAGTTAATTGTTAGGGTATTATGATCTGTGTGAAATAAATGCTGTTTATTAATTTGTTCCATTCACAGGTTACGAAAGAAACTTCTTCCGATTTGGCAGGAAGTGGATCGACTCGCGTGACGTCCCATACGACTACGGATCCATCATGCATTACAATAGAGCATTCTTCTCGCGCTTTCCTGTCATGCTTGATACACTGGTCCCTCTACATAGAGGTGTGGAGGTTGGTCAGCGGAAGGCACTCAGTAGGTTTGACATCCTACAGGCCAACTTACTCTACCAGTGTGATGGTAAGAATCTCTGGGTGTCTATCCTTAAACAGAACCTAGACACTACAGTACCCCTGTCGCCCACGCGACAATAAGGAGTTTAAGAAAACCACGACGGAAACGGGAACGGGAAAGGGAACGTCGCTAAACAAAAGATTTAATGAGCAGAACCATGGCTGTACACGTGCGTTCTAATCTTGGTACATTTCTTGACCGTCCACTGCAAAACAACAACGTGAAATGACCAAATTCTGCGTTGTCTGGAGAATGTGAACCAAGTATCGACGGATAATTTTAATCTCTATTTCAAATTTATCGCTGTGTTCCAGATTTAGTTTTGTGATAGTTTTGACAGTGAAATACAAAGTAAATGCCTTTAGAGTATCGCGAGATTCGTAGGTAAAATATAAAGTCATTTTTTTTAATCGACGTTGTCCTCGGCGTCGCCGTCCGTGATTACTTAAACTCCTTACTAACCTTCCCATCGCTTCCCGCGCTCGCGCTCCTCACTCGCTACCAACTCCCACTCGCGCTTTCTTGTTCACTCCCAGTCACCCAGTCGCTCTTCGCGCTTAAAAGAAGAGCCTGTGGACGAAGCAGTTTACTGTGCATAGACCATTGGCATAAGTGGCGCCTAAATTTGAATAGCGAAACCTATACATCCTAAGCTTCACATTCATGTGAAAAGTCCTTTGTCAGTCCTGGTAAATATTCACCAATGTTCACTGAGCCTGAGGCGAATAATTTTTTAAGAATAATTTTCAGAGCTAAATATCAAGGACTACAAAATAACGGACTAAAACATAAAAACACAGAAGCAATTAGTCGTGTGCATACACGTATGCAGCCGTAGTTTTAATAATAAGCTTACATATACATGGGTTGTCAATCAATTTACTCATCGAGTTCGGCAGTAAAACAAACGAGCGCAACACAAGGAAAAATAAATTCATCCGGTACCTATGTTTTATCGTTGTTGTCATCATCGCCTAAAAATGAGTAGCTTTAGTTTGAAGAAAAATAAATTTCGGTCAATCGATCTGACCTGCTGGCGATCGACGAAACCACTGCGTTTACGATTCTTAAAAGCCTTGAATGCGAGTTTTGGTCCAAGGGTGACAGTAGTCATTTTGAAAAATCCTCCATCCTTTCAAATATCCTGGACTTGGAGTGATGTCTTTTGAATAAATGAAAACTTCACTCAGCAACTGTCCGCCATGTTTACTAGCCGAGATGGCAAAGATGGCGAGCTTAGTAACCAAGCTCCAGCGGGGTGAATATAGTGTCATATGATGAGCTTTTCGACCAATCAGAATGTCCAATTCTTATATTCACCTCTGGAAATTATATTAATAAGGAATATATAGGTCCGCAGTACGTACATGCGCCAGGCGCTAGTAAGAAATAGGTCCGCAATACGTATGTGCGTGTCTAGTCACAGCAATGTTCATTTTCTTGAGCAGAAGGTTTACCGAATGTAAGTGGTCACATCAACGCAAGTCACAAAATAATTTGTAACAAACCACGTCGTATTTTTTGTTAGGACGAAAAAGGCTGAGTGACGAAGAAATACAGCAGCTTAAGGAGGAAAGTTACGATCAAGTATCTGAAGGTATGATTCTTTCTCTAAGGACTAAGACGAAAAAAATGATTAAGAACTGAGAATTATTGTTTTCAAATTCATTCAGTCTTGAGAACTAAATTTTCCTCAAGATCGGTTAGAATAAATTGAAAATGTGTTTCAATTCGCAAGATCAGAACAAAAAAAGTTCTCAAAAGCCATAATAACTCTTTGCAGTTCATTCTGAATTCAAAAATTATTTATTTATGTAGCAATATTGCTTGATGTTTTGTAATACTTTTCTCGTTAGATTCAGTCATATGTGCAGACGTATATGACCGTGATTCTTGCCAGTCAGTTAAATCTCGGGGGTACTGCCAAAAGTTTCCACATAGTATGAGAACAACGTGCGGGATCACGTGCAACTTATGCGGTAAGAGATTCATGACTTAAAGAGATGATAATAATAAACTTTTATATACGTAGTATACTTTCAATTTGATTACTGAACATCTTAAAAATATAGAAGAGTCGCAGTAAGGATAAATCATGGTAAAATCTAGAAACATTATCTGATTGAAAGCATATAAAAAAATAAGCTTCCGACTGTCTTAACCACATGCAGTCTTCAACGGGCAAATTGTAAAAAGACAGTCGAAACTTGTGTTTTTTATCTATTAGCCGAAAATCGTTTTGAGATTTTACCACTAAACATCTTGTTTACCTTTTCGAAGAGTGGCTTTTCCTTCACATAGTTTACATATGTATTGCAAGAAACAGACTTATTCTAAGATCTAGATTTGGTCTTATTATACAATAAATTGTATAGCCTATCTTTTGCCGATGATTTCGATGATTCCTAACCAAAACTGTACGTTACACGGGCTTGAGGGGCTTGAGGGCTCTTGTCTTTCTTAGTTAAAGGCCCGTCTACACAACGCCAGTGAAATTTTAAACGGTGTTTTCACTCTGAACACGAATCAAATGTTTTCCGTCCACACAACGCCGGAGACGTTCAGTGAAAACGCAACAATTACCGGTCATTTTGGATTTGTGTTTGAAGACAACTCGGGAAGAGAAATCACACGATTATTGTGATGTCATCGTTTACGAAAGCCCTGTTTTCAAAATGTTTTCCGTCTGCACTAAAACGCAAAGCCGGCGTTTACAAATTTCTCCAGTTTTCGAAAAGCTCCGTTTTCGTTGCGAACTATTGGGACAGCAGGCCTTACGGTAGAATGAAGCTTAATTTTCAAATTTCTCCCGCGTAATGTGGACGGGATCTAGGACTAGGCATTTGAAAAAAGGCACACTTTGCATGAAAACGTTTAATGCTTGAATATTTAATCAACGTGGGTAAATTCGATATTAGAATTATTTTAAAACTCGTAGGAAGTAAATACAAGCAATCACACGGAGGGGCAGGGGCGAGGAAAAAGTCCGCGGCCACTCATGAGGTGACGCGAAAAAGTTTGGTCAACAAATTGAAGATTACCCCGCTTAAGGAGGAAACGGGCTCTAAAAGAATGATCCCCGAGGAGAACCCTCAAACTACTTGACAAGTTCAATTTTGAGTGAGGTACACTTTGTGTCTCCTTACATAGTGTAAACGAGTAAAGATGTAAACGGGTGCCATTCATTCATTTGTGCACGCAGCTGAATGCATATAGATAAAGTAAAATAAAATAAAATGAAATAAAATAAAGTAAAATTAAAATGAGTGCATATATAGAAACACAACATGACGTAACTAGCAGGCTAGGCCTAAAAGTAACATGGTATTAAATAAATACAATTACATCGCACTGAAGGGCATGGTGCAGCGGGATACATCGATGTAACTAAATCTTCACTTGTGTAGCAAACCACTCCTAAGTTTAATTTGAATAATAAAAGTAAACATGCAGTAGAGAATATAATTATATTATAATTAATTAATTTACATAATTAATGATATTCTTGTGGTTCTCCTTTCCAGGTATGAATGCTAAAAAGAAGGAAGCGGTACAAGGCAACCACGAACAGCGTGCTTAGCTAAAGAATTTAAGAATTTTCCATGCCTACTGGCACCATACATGTTTCATTTCGTTTTCCTTACAGATCTATTTTTCTATACTAAAAAACATCAAGCACTTAATCAATGCTATCAGAGCCAACTTCATTTTCCACAGAGCACGATTGTAAATTTAATTGCTGAAAACTATATCTATTCATAAACATTGACCACGCCTTGAAATTGAACCACGCTTTGTCTTGCTACAGAGTATATAAACACTGTACGTACTTCCCAATTTATTTTGTGATTAGAGTCAAGCTGCTATCTTAGTGTTACTTTAGCTATCAAATGCGAGGAACCGACCAACCGTTTGATTTCAGGAGAAATTCTCTATAAAAATGCTCTTTCAAGATGGTTGTGCAGGCATAACATAATACACGAAATACTATTTGTCATATTTCTGAGGGCAATTCAATTCCGAGGCTTAAAACTTTTAAAGAATCTAGAAGGAAAAAGGCAGATATTCTCAATTAACTAAGAGTCTTCTTTGATTATTTTAAGCCTTGTAAATAAATATTATAATCTAAAGCGAACAATGTGGACATCGATTTTACATTACATCACCCATATCTTTTTTTTTTTCTGAAATACAAGTATCTTTATTGTCTTAATCAATCATTCTAGTAATCTTTTAAAGACAATACTGACGAAACGACAAAAAGTAATGTGACCATGTATGGAATTAAAATTTAATTAAATATACTTTAAAATTATGACTTAGAGAGGAAGTAGGATTACTGACTTACTTTGATCCTATTCGTTTGTGTCTGAATATAAGACCTTTACCAGATAACGCCAGTGTTGCTTGTGTAGAATGTTGTGAGCTGTGTAACCGCTCCTCCAGTAGTTTTCCAGTAGTTCAGTTGGTTGAAACACGTTGTCCCACGCTCATGTCATGTTGATTAATTCACCTTCACATTTCATTATCGAGCTTGAAATTCACCATCTTTATTAACTTATCACTACTCACGATGACTTCGATAGCGTTGATCCTAGCAGTATGCAGGACACCTGTCATATATGAAC